CTCACAGGGTGTGCTGGTCCCTGGGATGAAGCCCTGTACAAGGGGACAAACCATCAGCCCTTTGCTCCCTATGCTTTCGCCTTTCGAGCTCAAGAATCCCTGTGTGCTTCTTGCTTACCTGCGGCAGTTCCTTTATAACACTGGTGGCCCTGCCAGCATCTGACGACCACTGATGTCTCTGTGATAACTAAAGCAAAGGGAAAATTTCTTTCAACTTCACCTCCCTTTTGTGAAGCATTTGCCTTTTATCCCTCCAGTAGGGTCCTGTGTGTGTCTAAGGCCCTTTCACATCTGTTTTGCTATTTTTGAAATAACATCACATCAGAATTTGCAAGTAAAAACACAATAGTAGCTGTGCCTCTCCCTAGGTAGCTGTCTATGGCTACTGGACCACTTGCAGTGTGGCTCATGTAACTGGGGAAGTGAGTTTGTCATTGTCTCATTTAAATTTAAAGACTCATATGTCTAAGTGGCGACTGCATTGGAAATCACAGCTCTAGACTTCTGGCCAAGACCTTGAGGTGCTGTCACGCAGGTGTGTTGATTAGTTAGGTCCTCATGCACAGTGAAAGGATGCTGCTGAACTTCTCAGGTAAGACCAAGTCTGGCAGGGTTTGAGTTTTTCCCTCTGAAGCTGAACAAGAGTAGGGGGTGATTGTCCCCCTTGATACTGGTTAGATTTCCAAGGTGAAATTGAAAGCTTGCTTTGGTAAAGTGCATGTTGGGAGACTTTCTGTACTAGTGTTTTTGTTTGGCCCAAATTTATAGCCCTGCTTCCTGTCCTTCTAGTGCTAATCCAGCATTTTCCTCTGTGCCTTTATTGAGCACCTCCTGTATGCACTAAGCACCTCACTGGTCCCGGGGAGACAGAGATGCGTTAGACACATTCTCAGCCTTCAGGGATTCTGCAAAAAGCTGGCAGAGAGACCAGTGTGTGGAAATCTTAAAATATAGGACTACTTAGAGGGAAGGGCGCAGAGTTCCCGGGGAGACTGCCGTGGTGTGGCTGTTGGGTGCACGCCCTGAGTGGTCTGGGTTCACAATTTGGCCCTGCCACTTAGAACTTGTATGACCTTGGCCTGACTTAACTGCTATGCCTCAGCTCGCTCACCTGCTAAATGGAGTAATAAAAGAATCTACCTCCTAGAATTACTAATTAAAGTGATTATAAAATCCAACTTTTATTATTGTCAGTGATAGTCATGTGCTTTAATAGCATTTCAGTCAATAGATCATATATAGGATAGTGGTCCCAGAAGATGCTATGTTCTAACTGTACCTTTTCTGTGTCCAGAAAAGTTTAGATGCACAGCTGCTGACGGCTGTTGCACTTGCCTGGAGTACGCAGTCCAGTGATGTGTGCTGTGCAGGTTTGTAGCCTGGGTGTGCAGTAGGCTGTCCTGCTGGGCTGTGTCCACGCACTCTGACCACACAGTGACAAAATGGGGACATGTTTCTCAGAATATATCCCTGCTGTAAAGAGCTGCCTGACTGCAGCTGGACCTAACTGCCAGTCGGAATGAACAAACACCGGCAGAGTTGTCCCAAAGCCACTCCATGGAGTTCACCAGGGACTCCCAGAGGCAGCAACTTCTGCCCTGAAACGTGAAGTCCTGCAGATGCCCAGGGAAAGGACATGTTTGGCAGGAAGAAGGATCTGTAAAGGCACAGGTGTGAGGGGCGCCCTCTGGCGGCTGCCTCCAGGAGAGGGCCGTGAGGTGGGTGGGGCTGAGAAGCTGGACCGGCTCCTAAAGCCAAGGAGAGGTTTTCAGCAGGTTCCGGGCTCCCGTGGAGCCTGGGCAGCATGGCCTGCAGTGACCTCAGCCCCACATCACGGCCCAGCCTCCTGCCCTGTGACTTGGGTAGGAAGTGAGTGTGTGGACCTGATTATGCTCACTGGATGTTATTTCTCTGGGGGACGTGGATTAATAAAGCAACAGTGTGTGTGTTCCTAACTCTCTACCCCGCTGAGACAGAGGCTCTCCAGCTTACCCTATGAAAATCTGACAGCGGTAGGCCCTTCCCTCAGAAAAAAATCACAAAAGCAAGGTTCTCCATGGACCCCCACAGGAGCCTCCCTTCCTCGGGCTCACGCGTGCTCTTCCAGCTCTAATTTAATTACCCAGCGCATCCAGTAACTCTCCCATCTGCCGTCACCATTATCAGCTAACCATGTTATCAGAGCAGGCTCAGCCCATTCGAGGGGTATAATTAAAACTGAAAATAATTATCTTATTTTGAGCTGTTCAAATTTGAGAGGATAGCGTCTAAGATCCTGGGCTCTCGAGGCAGATGGCATGGATTTGAATTCTATCTCCGCCACTGTCTCTCAGCCCCAGGAAGGAGACACGACCTCTGCCTCAGTTGCCTTGTAATGAGACAAGGATGGCAGTATACTCAGTTCCCATGAGGATCACCTGAGGTCCCCAGGGAGCTGCCTGGAACAGCTCCTGCACGTGGTCAGTACCATGCACACACTTGCCATCCACATTGACTTCTGTTTACGTGACGTCATGAACGGGATGAAGATGGATTACTGGGAGAAGAAAAATAGGTACCTAAGATCTCCATATATGTTTGACTTTGGATACTTGCCAATACCTGAAGGCCCAGAAAAGATTCCCTGGAACTGTGCTGTCTTGTTTGGTAGCCACTGGCCACGTGTAGCTTTTGTCTACTTGAAACGTGGCTGGCTTAAGTTGAGGTACCCAGATATGGAAGCCTTAGTATGAAAAAAAGTGAAATATCTCACAAATAATTTTTACAGTGATTACATGTTGGAATGATCTGCATAAATTAGGTTAAATATATTAAAATGTGTTATCGGTTTCTTTGCTTTTTATATGTGGCTACTAGGACTTTTTAAAAATTGTTTTCTGGGCCAGGTGCAGTGGCTCATGCCTGTAATCCCAGCACTGTGGGAGGGTGGGGCATGTGGATTGCAGGAGCTCAGGAGCCTGAGCCAAGAGAGACCCCATCTACTAAAAATTGAAAAAACTAGCCAGGCGTTGTGGTGGGCGGCTGTAGTCCCAAGCTACTTGGGAGGCTGAGGCAAGAGGATCACTTGAGCTCAGGAGTTTGAGGTTGCTGTGAGCTGTGATGATGCCATACACTCTACTCAGGGTGACAGAGGGAGACGGTCTCAAAAAAAAAATTGTTCTCTATTTTTGTATATATTCGTGGGGTGCAAGAGCAGTTTTGCTACATTGATGTTATGAGGTGGTGAAGTCAGCGTTTTCAAACGCTTATCACTAGAGCAACCCCTGGACCCACCGGGCAGCCTCCCTCCTCCACCCCGTCTGGGAGGTTCCCTGTCTTCTCCCACACTCTGCTCCCGTGCCTCCCAGTCACCTCCCACTTGTGAGAAACGAGGTCTTTGTTTTGAGTTGTGTCACTGAAGATAATGGCCTTCAGTTCCATCCTTGTCCCTGCCTGGATAGTACTCCATCGTGTATATCCACATTTTCTTTATCCAGTCCTGATGATGGACACTTAGGTTCCATATCTTTGCTACTGTGACTAAAAATTCAATAAATGTGTAAGTGCAGGTGTCATTTTTACATACAGATCTTTGGATAGATACTCAGGGCTAGGATTGCTGGATCGTATGGTAGTTGTATTTTTGGTTCTTTGCAAAACCTGCCTGCTGTTTTCCATAGAGGTTCCACTAATTTGCATTCCCACCGACAGTGTCTAAGAGTTCCTCTTCTGTTTTTTCTTTTCCTAGCCGTCCTGATTGGTGTAAGATTATATCTCATGGTGGTTTAATTTGCATTTCTGATTAGCGAGACTGAACATTTTTCGTATGCTGTTGCCCATTTGTTGTCTTTTGAGAAATGTCAATTGATGTCCTTAACCCCCTTTTAAATGGGGTTAACTGTTTTTTCTGTTGAGTTTGTGTTCCTTGTAGATTCTGGATGTTAGGCCCCCGTGAGACGTGTGCTTTGCGAATATTTTCTCCCATTCTGCAGGTCTACTTGCTCTGTTGATTCCCTTTGCTTTGCAAAGTTTGTAGTTAAGACATTGTTTTTGTGTTGCCTGTGATTTTGAGGTCTCAGTCATGTCCAAAAGAGATTCCTGTAGGTTTTCCTCTAATACTTTTAGAGTTTCAGGTCTGATATTCAAATCTTTAATCCATCTTGAGTTGGTTTTTGTGTATGGTCAGATTTCCTAGAATCACTTATTGAGAAAGATGTCCTTTCCCCAGTGTATGTTCCTGTTGGCTTTGTCAGCTGAGTTGGACGTGTGTGGCTATGTTTCTGGGTCCTCTCTCCTGTTCCATTGATGTCTCTTTTTCTTTGTTTCTGGGTCCTCTCTCCTGTTCCATTGGTGGGTCTATTTTTATACCGGTACCATGCCACTGTGGTTATTCTAGCCTTGTAGTCAGGCAGTGTGATGCCTACAGCTTTTTTCTTTATGCTCAAGATTGCTTTTGCTATTCAGGTGCTTTTTTTTGTTTCCTATGGGACATTTAACATCAGGTATGGGGCTTGCATTGTATTTCTGTCCAATAGCACTGCCTTCCGCCCACCATAAGTAAGACAGAAATGCACGGCTGTTCACATGGTCCCGTGGTCTCCGTGAGAGCCTTGTGTGCCCGTCCTAGTGCCCTCCGGATTACGCTGCACCACCAGTTGTTTCATTGGTTCCTTCAAGGAAACCACAACTTAGTCCCAGAAAAAGGGGTGTGAGGGACCGAGGCAAGAGCAGGGACGAGAGACTTCCCGGAGGTGGAGGGTTTGGACAGAAACACTACCATTTATAGTTATCCTGGCCTCAGGCTTGAGCACTCCCTGAAGTAGATGAGAGAATGCTCTCTATTCAGGAAGTTGAAATATGTAGGCGAAAAATGCTTCTTATTCCATCAGGAGCCAGAAAAGACTTTGTTAATCTTTAATCCCAAGAATCAACGCCTAGCATTATGGCAGTCCCTTGGGATCAAGAACACACCCTTCCCAAGTGTGATTTACTCACCGAATGTTTGTTTAATTCTATTTCAGATTCATCCCACCACTTAAAACATCAAAACGTTGGACCACACAGTCTAACTGGTAAGTTTAACTTTTTTTTTTTTTTTTAAGCAGAGTGTGCGTTTGACATTATTTTTTAAATGAAGTTGACACTTCTAAGTTGCATGCACCCCATCAGTACTGTGAATAGACGTCTGCCGATCTGCACTTTGCTTCTCCCAAATGATTTATGATGTTTCCATGCCTTAAAAAAACCAGAGTAACCCATGTTCTTTTGCTAAGATCATGGTCAGGGAAAAGATCCATGATTACATGCCAAATACTATTAAAATGAAAGCTTTTCTTTTTGGTAATGAAACTATTTCCAGGCCCCTGTTTATGGTCTGCTTGTTTCAGGCAGTATCCAAAACAACAGTGTCAGCTCAGCCAAGGAATTCAGACAGTCCCTTCAGCGTGTGGAAATGAAAGTGGGCTCACAGCTGCCACATGTTGATGGGGCTCTGCTTCTCTCTCGTCTCTCAGCCTAAATGTGGTTCTGATGAGTTAACAGTTCGCAGTGGTAGAAAATTAAGTGCTAGGAAAGTAATATACTACTTAAGGGGAGAAGCTTCTGGGACTTCATCCCTGACATTGTGGCCATGCTGTTGTTTGCAACATGTATGAGTTAGCTTGTGCTGTGTGACAAAGCACCCAACATTTACTGGCTTAAAATAACCCTCTACGGTCAATAACTCTGTCACAGTTCTGTGGGTTGGTAACTGGGGCTGGGCTCAGCTGAGTGATTCTTGTGTCAGCTGGAACTGTTTCTGTGAACAGCTGCAGGTCCAGGTCAACTAGGCTTTGTCTCAGGGGTCACCTGGCTGTCAGCTGAAGTGATAACAGGGACAGAGCTGAGTGTGTTCACAAGGTGATTGGGCAGGGCACCAGGGGAAGTGTCTTGAGGCCAAGGTCACAACTTGACTGGCACAGCACTGCTTCCACTTTATTTTGCTAACACGAGCTCCAGGGCTTTCCTGGATATAAGAAGTTCAGGTGGAGACTCTGCCTCTTGACCAGAGGGGCTGCAGAATCCCATTGCAGGGAGCATGGATACAGGGAAGGGGAGAATTGTAGCCACTGTAGCTACATGTAGATTACGGTCTTCCAACCATGGCGTTTATGGTCCATAAAAACAGCTATGTTAGGATGAGAAGAGCGTGGAGAGTGAAGGACTCAGAATGGATGCCCACTTCTTGGCCCATCCTTCTGCCCTGTTCGGGCAGCCTAGAATCCTAATGTCACCCCTTGCCGTCCAGCATCTGAGTTCTGATTCCAAGGTCATCCTGCCCGTACCAGGTTTTCCACCCTCCAGGTCTCCCCTCGCTCTGTGTGGCACTGTCATGAAGGTGGTCATTCTGTTCATCTTTCAGAAGGGCACTCCTGCTCAGAGACCTCCCCCCCCACCCCCCCTACCCCCGCCCAGCTCCTCGGTGTGGCCTCTCCCTCTCCTGCCCAACTCCCACCATGTGCTTTATTTTTGCCAGTTTACTCAGCATCTCTTGAGCATGGCTTTCTGCTCACCCCTTCTGTCCTGGAAATCCTGCCCATTTTGCAGGGCCCAGTGGAATTTTCCCTTCTGTGACTGGCCTTCCTGTCCACCCTGCCATCTGTGACTCATTGCCCTGACTCCTTCAGAGCCAAGCAGGATTGTCTTTGGCCCACTCTTCTTTCATCTTGGCTGGTCCCACTTCCTTAGTTGCTTTGTGAGCTCTTTGAGAGCCAAGGGCCACATACCCCTTTGTCATGGTCAGCGCAGGGCCAAGAGCACAGCAGGTGCCTGGTCAGCCAGGAGCAGGGTGGGCTCTGCACGCTCACCAGCAGCAGTGCATCAGTCATGGGAGTGCTCCCCAATACCGACCCACAGCCCCTTCTGCTGGGCCGTCCACGTTCATGAGGTCCGGGTGGACCCTGGGAATCGCGAAGCTCTCAGATGCTTGCGATCACCCTACAGCTGGCAGCTGCTTGTTATGGTGAGAACAGATTGATACAAGGCCTGGGTTTGAGCCTGGGTCTGGGACCTTACAAAGTAGATCTTAGCTTCAGTTTTTCTGTCTGTAAAATGGGAATAATATGTAACTTGAGGATTGCTGGGAAGACCAGAAAAGGATAATGTATATAAAAGTGCTTTACAAATCACAAAATATAACTAAAACTCATAATTGTGGTCTCTAACTTGCCACAGTTCTAAAAAGGACAATGACCTACAGGGTGATGATGGAAGGGCAGGCAGTGAGTACAGTGGTGGTAGAGGGGGATTAATAATAGCGGTAATAAAGTCTGTATTTTTAGGGTGCTGATTGTGTACTGGGCACTGTGCTGTTCTATATAGAATTATTGGAGAGCTACAGGAAGATTCCCTTGTTCAGTTGCATTTGTGCCATTTTTATAATCCATGTGTGAATTATTCCAGTGGCTTTTTACCCTCTTCAAAATACCGGGTTAAAAAGGTCTCTCTCTTTGAGGAAAGATGTGAAGCTATTGTCGGGCGCCACCAACACATAGTCAAGTACAAGGTCCAACAGTGGTGCCAGGTCGGGAAAGGAGAACAGCCACTGGCATGAAAGAGGGAGCAGGTGTCCAGGGTTGGGCCAGGGGGCACCCAGATGCCTCAGGAAGGATGGGGTGGGGAGGTGAGCAAGGGTAGGGGGCCAGGGGGCACCCAGACGCCTCAGGAAGGATGGGGTGGGGAGGTGAGCAGGGTGGGGGGCCGGGGGGCACCCAGAC